TGAGTTTTCATTGACACTGACATTAAGGTGGAACTGCTTTTAAATTAGCACTGAATTTAAGGTGGAACTTCAATTAACATAGCATTAACTTTAAGGAGGCACAGAATTTAAGGTGGAACTTCAATTAGCATAGTACTAAATTTAAGGTGGCACAGAATTTAAGGTTGAACTTCATTCACGGTAGCAACTAGCAATGAATTACCATCCACGACAGATACTGCAGCTTCAGCTTAATAAAATTTTGGCAACATTATAACAACTATCAACAGTGTTCAACCATTTTAACGTTTTAACGTCATTAACTGGCTTTTTCAAGCCAACTTAAAGTTTGTTCACGAACTTTCCCTTTCTAGTTATTATTATTATTAAGTTGGCTTGAAAAAGCCAACTTACTGTTCTTCGTAATCTTCTTCTTCTTCTTCTTCTTCTTATTATTATTATTATTATTATTCTATACTCAAAAAACTAAATGCTACTCCTCCTACAGTTTTCGAGCTAGAGCCACGAAACTTGGCAGGATCGTAGAACCCATACCCGTGGAGTGTGCTTGTGCTTTTCTAAGCGATCCGACGTACGGTTTTCCCAAAATTAAGATTCAAAGTCGATATTTTTTCCCATAGGGAATGAATGGGCGGAATGTTGGCAGCATGCCACACATGATGTTACAATGGCCCGTTAACTCACACACCCATCCAAATTAGCACTGAATTTTAAGGTGGAACTTCTTTTAAGGTAGCACTGAATTTTAAGGTGGAACTTCTTTTAATATTGCCCATTCACTCCCTATGGGAAAACATTTCGACTTTGAACGTTAATTTTGGGAAAACCGTATGTCGGATCGCTTAGAAAAGCACAAGTTTCGTGGTTCTAGCTCGAAAACTGTAGGAGGAGTAGCATTTTATATTTTGAGCGTAGAATAATAATAATAATAATAATAAGAAGAAGAAGATTACGAAGAACAGTAAGTTGGCTTTTTCAAGCCAACTTAATAATAATAATAAGAAGAAGAAGAAGAAGAAGAAGAGAAGATTACGAAGAATAGTAAGTTGGCTTGAAAAAGTCAGTTAATTACGTTAAAACGTTAAAATGGTTGATGACTGCTGATATTTGTTAAAATGTTGCTAAAATGTTGTTAAGCACAAGCTGCAGAATCCTTGGTGGATTGAAATTTTTTGCTAAGTTCTACTGTGAATGACATTCCACCTTAAATTCTGTGCCACCTTAAATTTAGTGCTATGTTTATAGTGGTTCCACCTTAAATTTAATGCTATGTTAATTGAAATTCCAACTCAAATTCTGTGACACCTGAAATTCAGTGCTATGTTAATTCCTGTTCCACCTTTAATTCTGTGCCACCTTAAAGAAAGTCGCACCTTAAATTCTGTGCCACCTTAAATTTCGTGCTATGGTAATTGCAGTTCCACCTTAAATTTATTGCCACCTTAAAAAGAGTTCCATTTTAAATTCGGTGCCATCTTAAAAGAAATTCCACCTTTAATTTTGTGCCACCTCAATTTTATTGCTATGTTAATTAAAATTCCACCTTAAGTTCAGTGCTAACATAAATGCAGTTCCACCTTAATTTCAGTGTCAGTGTAAACTCAGTGCTACCTTAGAAGAAGTTCCACCTTAAAATTAATGCTATTTTAATTGAAGTTCCACCTTAAATTCTGTGCCATGTTAAATTTAGTGCTGTTGTATGCCACCTTAATTTTAGTACAATGTTAATTAAAGTTGATTCCACCTCATCCTGGCTTCATCTGGGCTCCACCTACTCTTGCATCCTAACCCTAGCTCCACTTCATCCTGGCACCACCTCTTCCTGAATCCACTTTGTCCTGTCTCCACCTCATCATGGCTACACTTAATGCTTGCACCAACCCTGACTCCACTTGTTCATGATTCCACTTTGTCCTGGCTCCACCCAATCCTGGCTCTTCCTCATCCTGGTTCCAACTATTCCTGAAAACACTACTAAACAAAAGAAACATTAATTCTCATCTTACATTTGCAAAAACACACTTGGACTATTGTTTTACTGACTGACCAATCAAACATTCTGAACAATACAGCATAATATTGCTGTTGACGTGTAAAGCTATAGATAATGGTTAAACTGATATCACCTGATGGCTGTAGAGTGTGTTAAAACTGTTTAAATATTACTATTGAGGTTTAAAGCTGTAGATAATGGAGAAAATTATGTTACCTGATGGCTGTAGAGTGTGTTAAAACTGTTTAAAAATTACTATTGAGGTTTAAAACTGTAGATAATGGTTAAACCGATGTAGCCTGATGGCTGTAGAGTGTGTTAAAGCTGTTCAAATATTTCTATTGAGGTTTAAAGCTGTAGATAATGGTGAAAATGATGTTACCTGATTGCTGTAGAGTGTGTTAAAACTGTTTAAAAATTACTATTGTGGTTTGAAGCTGTAGATAATGGTTAAAATGATTTTACCTGATGACTGTAGAGTGTGTTAAAACTGTTTAAATATTACTATTGAGGTTTGAAGCTGTAGATAATGGTTAAAATGATTTTACCTGATGACTGTAGAGTGTGTTAAAACTGTTTAAAAATTACTATTAAGGTTTGAAGCTGTATATAATGGTTAAACCGATGTAGCCTGATGGCTGTAGAGTGTGTTAAAACTGTTTAAATATTACTAGAGGTTTAAAGCTGTAGATAATGGTGAAAATGATGTTACCTGATGGCTGTAGAGTGTGTTAAAGCTGTTTAAAGTTATAGTTTTATTTAAATTCTGTGTAATCTTAATTTTATTGCAATGTTAATTGAAGTTCCACCTTAAATTCTGTGCCATCTTAATTTTAGTGCTACCTTAAAGAGAGTTCCACCTTAAATTCAGTGCCATCTTAAATTTAGTGCTATGGTAATTGAAGTTCCGCCTTAAATTTAGTGCCACCTTAAAAAGAGTTCCATTTTAAATTTGGTGCCACCTTAAAAGAAATTCAACCTTAAATTCTGTGCCACCTCAATTTTATTCCTATGTTAATTAAAATTCCACCTTAAATTCAGTGCTAACACAAATGCAGTTCCACCTTAAATTCAGTGTAAACTCAGTGCTACCTTAAAAGAAGTTCCACCTTAAAATTAATGCTATTTTAATTGAAGTTCCACCTTGAATTCTGTGCCATCTTAAATTTAGTGCCATGTTAATTGAAGTTCTATGTTAATTTCTGTTCCACCTTAAATTTAGTGATATGTTATTAGCAGTTCTACCTTAAATTGAATGCTATGTTAATTGAAATTCCACCTTAAATCCTGTTCCACCTTAAATTTAATGCTATGTTAATAGCGGTACCACCTTAAATTTAATGCTATGTTAATTGAAGTTCCACCTTAAATTCTGTGCCATCTTAAATTTAGTGCTATGTTAATACCAGTTCCACCTTAAATTTATTATTATGCTTATTGAAGTTCCACCTTAAAAGCAGTTTCACCTTAAAAAATTCATTATGTGTGCTGATACTGCTGAGCATTAGGCTGTGAGCATGTGAGACTAAGTGTTCCGTGCGTGAGTTTGAATGTGTGTGTGAGAGAGGTGGCCATTGTGACATCATTAATTTGAATGTTGCCAACATTCCGCCCATTCATTCCTATAGGAAAAAAATCGTCCGTTTTTCGTCCACTGTACTAAAACCATACGTCGGATCGCTTAGATTTGTTATTTGAAGTTCCACCTTAAATTCTGTGCCACCTTAAATGTTGTGCTACGTTAATTGCAGTGCCACCTTAAAATCAGTTCCAACTTAAAAAATTCATTTGTTGCTAGGTGCTACCATGAATGAAGTTAAATTCTGTGCCATGTTAATTTTAGTGCTACCTTAAACAGAGTTCCACCTTAAATTCTGTGCCACCTTTATTTTAGTTCTCCATTAAAGAGAGTTCCACCTCAAAATCTGTGCCACCTTAAATTTATTGCTATTTAAATTGCAGTGCGACCTTGACTGACGTTCCACCTTAAATTTTGTGCCTCCTTAAATTTAGTGCTATGTTAATTGAAGTTCCACCTTAAATTCTGTGCCATGTTAATTTTAGTGCTACCTTAGAGAGTTCCACTTCAAATTCTGTGCCTACTTCAAGTTAGTGCTATGTTAATAGCAGTTCCACCTTAAATTTAATGCTATGTTAATTCAAATTCCACTCTTAAGTTCTATGCCACCTTAATTATAGTACAATGTTAATTAAAGTTACTTTTTTATTTATTACTAATGACTGAAGAGTTACTGTGTTCTTCATTATGAGTTAAAATTATCTAGAACAGTATTATAAAGTGAAGCACGTGGTAACTTATTACTAACAACTAACTTCTTAGTGTGTTCTTCACCAGGAGATAATGACGATCTAGAACAGTATTATACTGGGAAATACATGATAACTCATTAGTAATGACTGAAGAGTTACTGTGTTCTTCATTATGAGTTAAAATTATATAGAACAGTATTATAAAGTGAAACACGTGGTAACTTATTACTAACAACTAACTTGTTTGTGTGTTCTTCATTAGGAGATAATTAAACTCATATAAATGATGGCTGGAGGGCAGCAACAAGTCAAGAACTTTTTTTTCCCCAATTGTATTCATCTAATCATAAATCATACATTCATACTTAATTTAAACTTACACATAAACTTTTAAAATTAAAAAAAAATTTAAATGGAATCTATATTAATGTAAACGTTTAAAAGTAGCTTGTTTAACTTTAATTAACCCATTAGGAAACAAAGAAAAAAACACACAATCACAAATATAAACATCCTAAAACTACGAAAAACTATGACTATATAACTCTAATTAATTAATCAAAAAATCAACAACTATTTTAAATTGCTAAATTATTTATTATTTATTAAATTATGCTAAATTTACTTTTGCCACCCAGTTCTTTACAGCTTGCTAAAGTCAGGAAGGCATATGGAGGAAATTACTCCTCCTTCCCTCCTAATTGTCACTCTTAAAGGCAGCATGCAGACTATGGTGTCAATGTCGGCACTCCACACCGATGATGGAAGTGTGTATTCCTCCATCGTTGCCGTTAAAATAACGGTGCTTGAGGAACTGGAGGTGATGCCGACAATGTCGACCTATTCGCTAACAGCAGCGCTCTCTAGTTTCTGTAAACAATACAGAACATGTTTGTGTGCATGAAGGTAAGCTCAGTCATATTTATATTTAATACATAATAATATTTATTAACTCTAGAATATTTAATATTGAGTGTAGGGTAACTCAATATGAGTACTAATTATTTGACTAGTCTGAATATTTTGTCAACTACAACAAATGCTGTGAACTGTAAAAAACTGTTTACTGGTCTTCTAATAGAAAATATCCAAAACAGTCATTGGTGTCTTATTCTCAAAATTTTGAAAATCAGACAGCTTACTACATTTTTTAAGCTAAAGCACCATATTTTTTACCCAACAAAATGTATTCTTGCATAGGAGAAGTGGCCAGTCTTATCTGCAAAGGGCTGGTGTAGCTGCAGATTTCATTCCAAAAGTCTTTGCTGGAATGAAAACTTGTAGTCACACTGCCTTTTTGGTATAAGATTGGACACTGTATATCTACTGTATAGCAAAAACGTCACAGGGTAAAAAAACAAAATGCAGCACTATAAACAGAGCAGCATGGACCCATGGAGTTACTGACAGATCCTGCTTTGAGAAAAAAAACCCTGGGTCTTTATTGTTATACAATAATGAAAATAAAAATCAACTTTACGTCAATTTACCGTGACAACTGTGTACGACGAGGAGTTGAATTTTAGCTCCTCCTTCCCCTTTCGCAGGTGGGTAATTGTGACCGTCTGAGACAGGCTGATGTCCGACAAGGCAGCTTCTCTCCAAAGGATCACATCAAAATGCTTGTCCGATGCCAGCAAGACTATAGGCCGTATTGGCACAGCACCATTACTTGCATTTTGAAGTCTTGTTGTAGTCATCTAATGTAAAAGCAATAATATTATTGAACATGAAAATGATTTCATTACCATTAATACATGGACAATAAATGATGACTCAAATCTATGACTTCTTAGTCTAGACTTATACATAAAATGTCACTGAATTCCATGATCTAACACTAAACCCCTCTGCAAAAGGGCTGGTGTTGCTGCTACTGTTCGTTTCAATCAAACAGGAGCATATAGATAATAAAATGTCAGAAGACTGAGACCTGCTGAACAAGTATAATCAGGTGTGCTTCTGCCTGAATGGAGTGAAAGCACACTGGCCCTTTGTAGATATGATTGTTGGGCCCTGGTGTTATTTATGCACAGAATATGAGTGAATCAGTCTATATGACTTAAGCTATTTGGTAACACTTTATTTGTACGGTCCACTGTAGATGCTTTGTATATGCTCAGTATATCTTTAAGTAACATTCAACAAAATATTCATTAAATGTAACTGAACTTGAACTTGAGTGTTATTTAGACGGTCCTCTGCAGATGCTTTGTAAATGCTTAGTCTGTCTTTAAATAACATTCAACTAAAAACAAGTTCAGTGTGAAAGATTTTATTAAATCTATCTAAAACTGAACCTAACCTTAACGTTCAAGGCAAAACCTACAGCTAATCCTAATCCTAACCATAATGGTGTTGATAATCAACTGAACATCACCAGAAATTGTGTTAATAATTTAAGTATCTGTACAGCATCTATAGGGGACCATCCAAATAAATTGTGGCCGGCTATTTTATGACTATATGTTTGGCCATCTATTCATGTAGTGCTTAGCACAGTCAGTGTGTGTGCATATAGCATCATATTCTGGACTTCTTTTTGAATTCAAAGGCAAATTTTACAATACTAACTACACAAAACTGACAAGTCTAAACCTTGGAAGTTCTAGGGAAGATGCTAGATGTTTGTTTAATACAACACAGAGCTAGCATTAGTAAACATTGCGTGACATTTGAACACTCACTTACCAGGCCGATGATTATAAATACACAATTTAATTAGTATTTTCATTTGAATTAAAAAAAAGTCAGGAATATGCTGTTAGTTGAATGCATAGCAGTGCTTCTTTTTTTTGTATTATAAGTAATTCATATATCAATACTTACTTGGTCGATTTTGCCCTGTAGAGTGCTGTACTCTTCGATCCTTCCCATATCATATTTATACTCTTGAGAGGGTGGATGGACGGCACGATTGCAGTTCATCTCCAAGTCACTTGACACTCTGACCTCCCCAGCTTTGAAAACAGTGGTGGAAGGCATGAAAAACAATTTTGCCTGACCGTACTTTTCAGTCAGGGTGTAATTTTTGAGGTAGTATGACTGGCCCGCCTCAAGGCGGTCACAGTCCTCCCCCTTTAAGTGTGCTACAGCAAACTGCTCCCCGTCACACAAAGCACAGTTTGCTGTAGGCCTAGAAGATTGAACTGCAATTGTGCCGTCCACCACTTCATAACTTAGTGCTCGGCCACACACTTGACCTTTATGGGTTGAGGACGTCCATAGGGTGTTGAGACTTTTGAAAACATTCTATGGAAAAAAGAGAACAAGACTCATAAACTTAAAAAAACTGTCAATCAATCAAACACATCTATAAATAAAGAAGTTAGGCTAGGGGAATAGTGATTGAGGAGATACGTCAAAGTGCATGGTATGCAAGGGTGAAACCACTTCATTATAGATAATTATAGATTACTTTTCCAACAGTTGAGATGCTGAGAGGCCACATTTGAGTCACAGGTTAAAATACATACAGAGCATATTCTCTTTTTTGCTCATGGTTTTTGTTGTGGATTTAAGTTTTTTCAATGTAGTGATATGATTTTGTTAAAATAAAAATAAGACTTAATAAAGAGTGTTATTACTGAGATTAAACAAAATTAACTGTGTTCTGTTCAAGTGAATGAGGAGAAAAGTCTTGCGTCAACCACTTTGCCCTGCCCCCGTCTCCCAGGGCAACAACAGCACCTGAACAAACCTGAAACAGAACTATTTTTTTTTATTAAAACCACCACATCCAAAAATGCGACTTTCAGCTTAAAAAGTTCACGACAAGCACATTTACAAAAATGGCCATAACTTTGCCGTAATCTTGAAGGGGGTGTTATAATTGCTAAAGTTTTGTGACATTTTGTCTGCATAAGGGGCAAGTGAGTGAGTTCCACCTCCAACTTGCCAAAACCATGTGACTGCGTTCCTGGAAATACTTTGTCATTGTGGCTCTCATCATAATATAATTACTAAAGATTATGGCGGGCGAGAGCCACAATGACAAAGTATTTCCGGGAATGCAGTCACATGATTTTAGTTAGTGGGAGAAGCACTTAAGCAGACAAGAGAGGCTCGAGTCCCTATTCACACCAGCGGGAAATTCTGCCCATTTCACCAAACTTTGGCGATTATTTCCCCCTCCTTTATGATCACAGTGAAGTTTGCAGACATTTTTGTAAATGTGAGGGTCTTGAGTATTCTGAGCATAAACATGCATTTAAGGTGAGCTGATTTGAATAAAAACAAATTGTTTTTGGCTTGTTCAGCCCGCTGCCCATTCTTTCAGCACAGGGTGCTGCTGTTGCCTTGGGACACAGGGGTGGGGCGAAGCGGTTGATGCAAGACGTAAACAGACAGGACCATCTTGGTTTATCTTTTTTATCTTTGGTGACAGCAACTCAACATAGTGGCTCCACCCCAGCAAAATAAATTGACCAGTCAAAAGCTTTCCTATGTGTAGAAGCTCTGTGGTTGGTTTTTCCACTAACCAACCACTTTGCAGGATTTATGACATAGCAACAGTATCTAAGGTAACCTTGGCTGAAAAAACTATGGTGTCCTTAGCTTACTTGTTAGCCCTGTAGCTAACCTGACTAAAACTGTGAAGAACTGGTAAGGGAGACGCTTAGTTGTTAGCCCTGTAGCTAACCTGACTAAAACTGTGAAGAATTGTTATTGGAGACGCTTACTTGTTAGCCCTGTAGCTAACCTGACTAAAACTGTGAAGAATTGTTAAGGGAGACGCTTAGTTGTTAGCCCTGTAGCTAACCTGACTAAAACTGTGAAGAACTGGTAAGGGAGACGCTTAGTTGTTAGCCCTGTAGCTAACCTGACTAAAACTGTGAAGAACTGGTAAGGGAGACGCTTAGTTGTTAGCCCTGTAGCTAACCTGACTAAAACTGTGAAGAACTGGTAAGGGAGACGCTTAGTTGTTAGCCCTGTAGCTAACCTGACTAAAACTGTGAAGAACTGGTAAGGGAGACGCTTAGTTGTTAGCCCTGTAGCTAACCTGACTAAAACTGTGAAGAACTGGTAGGGGAGACGCTTAGTTGTTAGCCCTGTAGCTAACCTGACTAAAACTGTGAAGAACTGGTAGGGGAGACGCTTAGTTGTTAGCCCTGTAGCTAACCTGACTAAAACTGTGAAGAACTGTTAAGGGAGAAGCTTACTTGTTAGCCCTGTAGCTAACCTGACTAAAACTGTGAAGAACTGGTAAGGGAGACGCTTACTTGTTAGCCCTGTAGCTAACCTGACTAAAACTGTGAAGAACTGGTAAGGGAGACGCTTAGTTGTTAGCCCTGTAGCTAACCTGACTAAAACTGTGAAGAACTGGTAAGGGAGACGCTTAGTTGTTAGCCCTGTAGCTAACCTGACTAAAACTGTGAAGAACTGGTAAGGGAGACGCTTAGTTGTTAGCCCTGTAGCTAACCTGACTAAAACTGTGAAGAACTGGTAAGGGAGACGCTTAGTTGTTAGCCCTGTAGCTAACCTGACTAAAACTGTGAGGAATTGTTAAGGGAGATGCTTAGTTGTTAGCCCTGTAGCTAATCTGACTAAAACTGTGAAGAACTGGTAAGGGAGACGCTTAGTTAGCACTGTAGCTAACCTGACTAAAACTGTGAAGAATTGTTAAGGGAGACGCTTAGTTAGCCCTGTAGCTAACCTGACTAAAACTGTGAAGAATTGTTAAGGGAGAAAGCTTATTTTTAGCCCTGTAGCTAACCTGACTAAAACTGTGAAGAATTGTTAAGGGAGAAGCTTACTTGTTAGCCCTGTAGCTAACCTGACTAAAACTGTGAAGAACTGTTAAGGGAGACGCTTAGTTGTTAGCCCTGTAGCTAACCTGACTAAAACTGTGAAGAATTGTTAAGGGAGACGCTTAGTTAGCCCTGTAGCTAACCTGACTAAAACTGTGAAGAACTGTTAAGGGAGACGTTTAGTTAGCCCTGTAGCTAACCTGACTAAAACTGTGAAGAATTGTTAAGGGAGACGCTTACTTGTTAGCCCTGTAGCTAACCTGACTAAAACTGTGAAGAACTGGTAAGGGAGACGCTTAGTTAGCACTGTAGCTAACCTGACTAAAACTGTGAAGAATTGTTAAGGGAGACGCTTGTTTAGCCCTGTAGCTAACCTGATTAAACTGTGAAGAATTGTTAAGGGAGATGCTTACTTGTTAGCCCTGTAGCTAACCTGACTAAAACTGTGAAGAACTGTTAAGGGAGACGCTTAGTTGTTAGCCCTGTAGCTAACCTGACTAAAACTGTGAAGAATTGTTAAGGGAGACGCTTAGTTAGCCCTGTAGCTAACCTGACTAAAACTGTGAAGAACTGTTAAGGGAGACGTTTAGTTAGCCCTGTAGCTAACCTGACTAAAACTGTGAAGAATTGTTAAGGGAGACGCTTAGTTGTTAGCCCTGTAGCTAACCTGACTAAAACTGTGAAGAACTGGTAAGGGAGACGCTTAGTTAGCACTGTAGCTAACCTGACTAAAACTACGAATTTTATATATATATATATATATATATATATATATATATATATATATACTCTCGAATTCAATATTTTCATGACCAATGAGATTAATATCGTTAGTCTTTTCAGGGTTAATGTAACTTAAAAATAGTTCGACTAATTAATAAAGTGTTAAGTTAACTGTCAATATGACATTTTCCTCTAAAACAACTATTTCACTTACTTCAACATATTCATATTCTTATGACTAAGTTTATGTGCTTTTTTACAGAGTCCTCATAAATACAAGAGGCTAGGACCTTTAGCTTAGCTAAATAATCGTTACATAATTAATATACAATCTCTCTCTCTCTCTCTCTCTCTCTCTCTCTCTCTCTCTCTATATATATATATATATATATATATATATATATATATATATATATATATATATAGATAGATAGATAGATAGATAGATAGAGTGTGTATGTATGCTAGATTGTAATAATATATATAATATCAAAATCTAGTATAAATCCTGACATACAACAAATAGAATGACATTAATAATATTAACAATAATAAAATTTAATAATAAATGTAATAAATGCTTGAGGAGAAAAGTCACATTGACAGTCTAATAATAATAATAATTCTACTTACTTGAGGCTTTTTGCAGTACCACAAAATGAGAGATGCTCTGACTGAGAAGGTATCCTGAGAGAGTGAGTGAGTGAGTGAGTGAGTGAGTGACCTGCCTGAAAGACCTGTGTGGCAGCAAAAATATTAAATTTTAATATATGTTGATTAAATAAATAAATAAATATTAACCTTGCAATAGTAAGTGTTGTGTATTTCTATCACTATTATTTATTTTGCCTGTATGAATATCATCAAGAACTAATGAATAAATAAATGAAAAAATCTTATACTTTATATTCACTTAAAAGCTATTTATTTATTCTGCTAATTATTTTGACATTACACATATATAAATAAATTTCATATATATTATATATATATATCGCTGTTTTTTGTCAATTTTCAGTTTTTGACATAACTTGTATATGTGCTATATGTGCTATACTGTGTTATGCTGTGGGGTAGTTAGTGCAGTGTTTTTGCCTACCGTCAAATTGAGATGAGGCTGGAGATGACCTGACCTCTGTATCCACTGTTTCAGTGGGCAGGCATTCTTCACTGCTGCCATGCTCAATGAAGAGCATTGGTCTAAAGTGCAGTGTTTCTTCTTCTTAGTCAAAATGTCACAGTGTTTCATTTGGCATTTTCGTTCTTTGTATCCATTTCAGTATGTGGTTATTTTGAACAATCAAATATAATATTATATAATATAGAATTGCTCACTACATAGGCCTAGTAATGTAATAAGTAATGTCTAGTAATGTCATGACTGTGCAAGATGGCGACCAGGTTCAGATTCACTTATGGCCACTAAAACTACAACTATTAGATTGCCTTTGGAAAAACTCGACTCTTTTATTTAATTAATTTTGTTTATTGTTTATTGTTGTTTATTTCATATTTAATTTGTAGTATTTTATATTGGCTAACCAACCTGCACACTTCACTGCATGTAAGAGAATATTTTTACTGATCTTTATGATTACACGTGTAAATCATTTACAACATGGAAAAAAATAGACAAAAGAACGTAGTAGTAATTTACTCTCAGTATCAGCAAACCAATAAACGTTAAAATGGTTGATAGTTGATAAAGTATTGCTTAGTTGTTGCCAAGTGGTTGTCAGTTGTGATGTGGTTGGTCAGGTGATGCTACGTGATTGCTTTGTTGTCTGTATTTCTTGCTACGGTGTTGCTAACTGGTTGCTCTGGTACCCAAAATGGTTGCTAAGTTATTGGTTTGTGTTTGTTATGGTACCCCAGGTGGTCGCTAAGGTGGTTGCAATCATGTTCCAGGTGGTTGGTAAGGTGTGTGTGTGAGTGTGTGTTTGACATGTGTAGAGTGTGTTACATGCAGTGTGTTGTGTGTTGGGTGTGTGTAGACTGTGTTGTGTGTACATTGTGTGTGTGTGGTGTGTGTGGAGTATGTGTGATGTATGATTATGATATAAGAGCAGTGTCCAAAAACTTCTGGCTACATTTGCCACAGCTATGCTAGAATATTAGATACTTATAATGGTATTTTCATATGTTGAAACATTTCTGAAGATATTACATTGATTAAGGAAATTTCATTTGAATATGCAGTAGGCTTTTGAATTAAAAACAAAATATTAGAATTCTAGTATACCAGAATAACTGTAATGGTATTTCCGTATTTTGAAAAAATTCTGAAGTGATTAAATTGGTGAAAACTTCATTGTCTCGTCTGTAATCAGTGTGGAGAATGACATCCAGCAACAGTCACGACAAACAGAATAGTTTTTGCTCAGCCAGATGCTTGAAGGACGTTTTGGAAACATTTCTACTACTTTATTGAGCCACAGTTGTGTTATGGTATAAATTGGAATTTGAAGTGTACATCTGATAGGCTGTTCATGCTCACTGACATCATGGACACATGAGGTGCTGATTTAAACTCCTATATCTGAAGTTTAAAAGCACAGTGGTATTAAAGTGTTTCATGCTGTTCTGCACTCAGGAAATTAATGTATTCTTTTATTTAAAAAAATGTTATAAACTATGATTGTGTGCAAATGATCCATCTTATGAATTGTCCCATTAATTTTGGACTCACGTGGGAGCGCCCTCTAGCGTTTCAGAAACCCAGAAGACTTACAGAGTGCTGAGTCTTCTCTCTACAAGCTCTCTGGCCTGTACACTTAAATGTGCAATGAGTTTACCGTTGAGAGCGATTTTGAACGCTGCAGGATCCGACTCTGAACCGACTCCACAGACAGAACTGCGAAGCTGCTAAGAGTTCGATTCAGATGGCCGTGTGAATCGGTTCGACTGATTCATTGAAAAGAATCAGTTCAAAAAAAGGATTCATCGCTCGCGAGACGGGAACCGACATTCCGCCTCTGCTTTCTGAGGTAAGTTAGGACTGATTTCTGCAGCTCTGATAAATGATGGCTTTAAACTACATTTTACTGAACACATAAACATAAGTCACATTTTATTGGATGTCTAGGACATAATTCGGTATATTTCGATATCATTTGTAGCGTTACTAGTGGTACAGTTTGGTGTAAATCTGCTTAACTTTCGCTAACTGATAAGCTAACAAGCTAACCGAGAGGCTGCTAGCTAGCGTTAGCTGGCTGGCTAACTGCCGACTGCAGTTCCTGACGGTTATTCTGCAGAAGCTGAATGAAGCGACCACCTGTTTAAAGTTTAAAGATACACGGAGAGTTTTAGTTGGTCTTCTTTTGCTTTATAACCACATTCATTGTAGCCTGTACACAATATAGCTAACATTAGCATACATTAGCCGCTCACTTCACTTCACACACTAGCTAACCTTAGCTAAGTTAATGTAAGAGCACCAGCAAACTCTACAGTACCGTTAACTTTGGTGCGTAATATTTACCAGCAGCGGGACTGTTCATTCCATTAGCACAAAATGGCCTAAAGGTGAGATTAGATAGTCCATGTTTTGTTTGTTGTTCTGTCTGTGTTTCTATGTATTTAACAGGAGATTTGATCATTGACTACTTAACCTGTGTAAGTAAGAAATTTTGTCTTAGACAAATCACCATGTTAGTGTGTCCTCAGCCCCTTTTTAACTGGTATGTATATCACATAGCTAGTTATGACCATAAGTAACTTAAAGGGGAATTGCACCGGTTTTTCAAAATTTCTGCATAATTTAGTCACTGTGATGTAAACAAAGTCACTCAAAATAGTTTGAGGTAAAACGTTTTTGGTAAATTGTACCAGATTTTCTTTACAGTGGTGACAGTAACGAGAAGTTGGGATGTGTACAATGTAAATATAGTAATTTTACAGCTATTTTAAATTTTGTAAATGACAGTAAACCTACATCTGCCTTCTGAGTTTATATGGTGGTAAAGTAGTGGTGAATCTGAAATAATCAGTTTTTATTGGGTACTGTTTTGCCTCACAGCGCCCCGCATGTATCCCTTCACCATGAATGGACTGATGAAGCAAATTTAGAGGTATTAAACTCTTCAGAAGTCTGGTTCCTGTCACCATCACTGTTAACAATTCAGACTCAGTATGTTTCTCTAGAATGGAGCATCTTGCACCAAAGCACTCTGAATGACTCTGTTTACATCCCAAACATGTACCAATGTGCCTGATCCAGCTCATGAAGGGCTCCATAATCAGTTGATGGGCTGGATCAGGTGAAATGAAATATATATTAAGGTAGTATTTATTGCTGTACAGTGTTGTGGGTCTCCATGAGCAGGATTAAAAAAAACATGGTCTTAGACAGTTCATTAGATCAGATACTGTTTATGTTTTTTGTCTGCTTATCTTTATAGCAGAGCTACGATACTACTTTGTTTAAGTTCTGAAAATTTGTCTTAGACAGCTCACTCTGTTCTTACCTAAAACACACATGCATACTAAATTTACTGATTTTTGTGGTCAAATCACATTGCTCCTCATTTACAGTAACACTGTAAATGTATTTGCACATAATTTTATTCTGTACTTATTTATATTTAATTAATTGTCTTTTGGTTTCTGTGTGTTTTTTTTTACAGGACGTCTTTCAATCAGACAGTGCTATTCTGTGTAAGTTGTGAATATTGTTTTTCTTATTAGTCTAACAAAGTTGCTCATTTCACAACACACAAGCATCTTTGCATGTATAGACAAAGGCATGTCGTCATGATATATATGTGTGATGTTTTAAATACCTTAATCAAGAGGGAGTGCTCCAGTGGTTTAGAAAGCAATCTTAGTTTGTTTTAGACAGTATGTTATATAAGCTTTTATGATTAATTGTCTTCTTTCTGTTTCTGTGGCTTTGTTTTCATAGGAGATCTTCATAGACAGTAAGTGTTTAAAATTTCTATCAGACGATTCATTGAGGTACTAGGCAAGTCTACCACACATAGCACGCTAATATGTGAATTTCAACAGTGAACACCCCAGAAAGCAAAATTGCGAGGCACGTCATCAAAAACAGCAATGCATACCGAAGTTACTGATTTGTGTAGAACCAAAACTACATTCTTCCATTTTACTATAATTCTTGTATCATATGATTGATTATGGAGATTGAACTTGATTCTCCCAATTCAGTATTCAGTTTTCAACAAATATTGGTGATAAACAGTCGTCAGTTTGTTCCTGGGCAGCAACATGCATATTTCTCTGCTTACTAGATGTACTGTTTATCCTTAATTGGCATCTTGTGTATTTCTGTGTATTTGCCTTTACAGACCTTCATAACAGACAGTGTTGCCCTGTGTAAGTGTTATCCTTTTCTCTGAGTCATGATTCTAAGCTCTCGTATAAAAGTTAGTAATACATTCTAAAAGTTATTGTTGCTCCACATTCTCAAAACCTGTGTACACACACACACACACACACACATATATATATATATATATACACAAACCGGAGTTGGGACACTAAACAAATTGTGAATAAAAACTGAATGCAATGATGTGGAGGTGCCAACATCTAATATTTTATTCAGAATAGAACACAAATCACTGATCAAAAGTTTAAACTGAGAGAATGTATCATTTTAAGGGAAAAATATGTTGTTTCAAAATTTCATGGCGTCAACAAATCCCAAAAAAGTTGGGACAAGGCCATTTTTACCACTGTGTGGCATCCCCCCTTCTTCTTACAACACTCAACAGACGTCTGGGGACAGAGGAGACCAGTTTCTCAAGTTTAGAAATAGGAATGCTCTCCCATTCATGTCTAATACAGGCCTCTAACTGTTCAATCGTCTTGGGCCTTCTTTGTCGCACCTTCCTCTTTATGATGCGCCAAATGTTCTCTATAGGTGAAAGATCTGGACTGCAGGCTGGCCATTTCAGTACCCGGATCCGTCTCCTACGTAGCCATGATGTTGTGATTGCTGCAGAATGTGGTCTGGCATTATCTTGTTGAAAAATGCAGGGTCTTCCCTGAAAGAGATGACGTCTAGATGGGAGCATATGTTGTTCTAGAACCTGAACATAGTTCTCTGCATTAATGGTGCCTTTCCAGACATGCAAGCTGCCCATGCCACAAGCACTCATGCAACCCCATACCATCAGTGATGCAGGCTTCTGAACGGAGCGTTGCTTAGAATGGCTTCCTCTTTGCACTGTAGAGTTTCAGCTGGCAACGGCAGATGGCACGGTGGATTGTGTTCACTGACAATGCTTTCTGGAAGTATTCCTGAGCCCATTCTGTTATTTCCTTGACAGTGGCATTCCTGTTTGAGGTGCAGTGACGTTTAAGGGCCCGGAGATCACGAGCATCCAGTAGAGTTTTACGGCCTTGACCCTTACGCACAGCGATTGTTCCAGATTCTTTGAATCTTTTGATGATGTTATGCACGGTTGATGATGATAACTTAAAAGTCTTTGCTATTTTACGCCGGGTAACACCATTCTGGTATTGCTGCACTATCTTTCTGCGCAACAATGGTGGAATTGGTGATCCTCTTACCATCTTGGCTTCAGAGAGACACTGACACTCTGAGAAGCTCTTTTTATACCCAATCATGTTGTCAATTGACCTAATTAGTGTTAATTGGTCTTCCAGCTGTTCGTTATATGCTCAATTTCCTTTTTCCAGCCACTTATTGCTACTTGTCCAAACTTTTTTGGGATTTGTTGACGCCATGAAATTTTGAAACAACATATTTTTCCCTTAAAATGATACATTCTCTCAGTTTAAACTTTTGATCTGTGATTTGTGTTCTATTCTGAATAAAATATTAGATGTTGGCACCTCCACATCATTGCATTCAGTTTTTATTCACAATTTGTTTAGTGTCCCAACTTTTTTGGAATCCGGTTTTTTATATGTGTATATATATATACACACACATACACATACACATATATATATATTATAGGCATTTGAAGCCAGTATCATGCTACTGTGTTGCATATGGAGAATGTTACATGTCTGTTAATGCAATCAATCCAGTAATGGTAAAAGTGCTAGAAAGCCAGCTTTCTTTTACTTTAGACCATTTTTGTATGTTTCGTCCTTCTCCCTGATCATGGAACTTTGTTTTTACAGGAGTTCATCTTCACAAGCCTCGCTGCTCTGTGTAAGTAGTGAATTTTTTTCTTAAAGGGGGATTGCACTGATTTTTTAAAAATTTTCTACATAATGTAAGCGTATTATTATAAGTTAAGAAAAGAGACACTTGCTGACTGGAATTTCTTTAGTCATGGTGATGGGGCCCAATGTAAATATACTCAATTTATTTACTATCAAAAACGGTAGTAACAGTAAACGTTAACCTATGTTATGAATTTTCATATGTGATGTGAACCTGAAATAATCCAGTTTCTTTGGGGAAATATTTTACTTGAAATGCCCAGCAGGTACATCTCCACCCTAAATGGATTTTAAAAATACATTTTGGTCCAAAGTTTTATTGCAAAACTATCTTTTATTTTTAGAATAGGATATTATTAACAGTGCAGTACTAAAACATAGTTGTAGGCTGATGTGTCTTTTTTTTTTTGTTGTTGTTGTTTTTGTGGCTATTACAGGTGCCTTCATAGTTCCCTGAGGGGGTACAGGGCATTCATTTAAGCTGACCAGCTTACTTGGTGAGTGTCCAGTTACTGAGATTGCCTTATACTCCATTAGTTTATTACATACAGTGCAGTACTGATATGGCACCTACTTGCTTCACTTATTCATAAGACTTTAGTTTGCTTGTACAGTTCTTTGCAAACATTTGAGCATCTCTGGTCAAAATACGTTTTGTTGGAAAAAGAGTTAACAGATTCTAGTTTAACATGTTAGTGGAAAAAATAAAACATAACATATGAAAAGTACTGGAACTTTTGCTCAGGCTACATTATATTTTCCCAGCATGTTGAATTCAGTAAATAAACTGTAACTGTGCACTAAAACGTGCAGAAGTGTGTTCTCTTTAGAGGATGTGTAACTTATTTTCACTTAGAAAATCAACAAAACTTGAAGTTTGACCAGGGCGCCAAAACTTTTGCGTATGACAATATAATGAAACAAGCCTTTTACAACTGTAGTCAGTATGGTTTGGTCACTTATCAAAAGTAACAAAATATGAAATATTGATCTGCCTTACATACCTTACCAGTCCTGAGTTTGGACACACCTCTTTGAATGTGTGCACAAGTTTGTGCTTTTGTATGGAATCATTTCTATAACAAAAAGTTTAAAACTAAAATCAAAAGGGGAAAAAACAGACTTAAAGAGCAGTTCTTTTTTTTTTTTTAAATTTCTGCATAATCAAACCACTCTGAATGATGTCCTAATAATTTACTCAAAGAAATTTTGAAAAATATGTGGAATTCCCCTTTAGGTATAGTAGTGCAGTGTTAAAACATAAGCTTCAATGTTTTTCAAGAACCATTTCACCAGTAGTTTTTGCTATTCTTAAGGTGAGTTGTTTAACACTTTACAGTCTGGATTTGTTCAAAGTATTTCGTTTGTAGACTGTTTTTTCAGGACATTATTTTTCTGTGATTGCTGTATTTGTTATTTTTGTTTGTAGACTGTCTGCATTTTTCCCTTTTTTGGCTGTTACAGGGTGCCTGTAGGTTATACAGCACGTCCTCAAGCTGGTCAGCTTACTTGGTGAGTTAGTAACCAGGTACTGGGATGGCCTTGTAGTCTATTAGTCATTCATATACAGTGCAGTATTAACAAGACTTCAATTTGCATGTACTGTTGTTTGCAAACATTTGAAAGCCCATGGGCAAGTGATGTTTTGTTGATTTTCTAAACTGAAAATAGTTAATACATTCTGTACACAATTTATATATGCTGTAAAAAAAATATTGTACATATTGTAAAAAAAAACAAAAAAAAAACACAAAATATAAAATGTGCCATAACTTGCACAAGCCCCATTTTATATTTTATTTTATTTGTTACTCCAATATGTTAAATTCAGTAAATTTAGTCTGTAGGGTTATGTTAATTATTTTAAGTTAGAAAATCATCAAAAATATAATTTGACCATGGGGGCCAAACTATTGATTTAGTTGATCATCACATTGATCAGCCCCAAATACCAACCAGTTTATTTATATAAATATAAAGTCCCTCCAACAAATGGTTTTCAGCAACATTTTGTCAGTATACAGTCATAAAAATAGTAAAGGTGAGAACAGCCCTTCTGTATGTATTTGTGTCCGGGCCATTTAATGGTATTGTAAGCATAACTTGCTTGTTTTTTTTTGTTTTCACAGGTCCTGAGGAAAACTCCTGTCTTCCTCTGTCCACTTGCACCTGCAAGTACAACAAACCACAACGAACCAAAACGGCAAACAAACCAAAATGAACCACAACGAACCAAAACGCCAAACGAACCACAACGAACCAAAGCAAACTACAAACCAATTTCTGCAAAAACGACAAACCCATTACTGAACCACAACAAACTGATTTATACAAAAATGACAAACCCATTACTGAACCACAACAAACTGATTTCTACAAAAACGACTACTGAACCCCAACAAACCGATTTCTACAAAAAAACGACAAACCCATTACTGAAACACATCCTTTGAAACACACAAAAAAACAAATAAAAAACAAGCCTAGAAAAACAATAAATCCCTGTTTACTAACACTTCTTCAGTGTTTCCTTGACTTGTTTTAGGTCAAACAGTTGGCTAAAGAAGTGGATTGTCAACATCTGCAGTTGAAGACTGTCACCATGTGCACCATCTGCAGCTGAAGACCGTCACACACACTATCGCCCCATAATTCACCATATACCTGATTACCATATACCTCACCAGCAGTACATTTCAACTGATCATTATATTTTTGTCTCAGCTGTAAAGCATAAAATCCTCCTTTAAGTCACAGACTACTTGATTACAAAGTGTGAACACAGTTTAAGTATTGTGTTATTATTCCATAGATAAAGATTTTTGTATTTACAGTTTGTTAGTAGCCTTGTTCATATTCATAATACTGCAGTACTACAAATTGCCTTTGGGTTTGGTTATTTAGTTTTAACATAAGCTTTTAACATTTATATTTGATTTTGTAATACTGAGTGCATGCATTTTGTCTAGTTACTTCTGTACCTTTATATTTAATAAGTTAATTTATAAGTAAGATTGTCTTTTGTATTGTCATTAATAACTGTGTTTAATAAATAGGTATAATCACATCTTTCTAAAACTGATTTTATTAAGTTTATCCTTTACGAAGATATCATCTTTTAGGTACTGACTTCACAAGTGGTGAGGACAGCAAACGTAACTTTATTGCTGTTTCTATAAGGTTTTATTGCTGAAGTTGGTCTGATCTAGTAAAGTGCACTGTTTATATTTTTTGGCTTTCAGATTTGACATTTTTCCTTATTGTACTGTTTGTATAAATCTATTATTGCTTACTTATTAAAATTACAAATCGTATTTGTATGTAAACTATTGGAGTATTAAACATAGTCTTGAATAGTGTTTCTTTGTGTAACGTTCATATCTAATAGAAAAAGGTTTTACTGTGCTGTACAGTGTCAGGAGGACAGATTTGAACGATGCCAAGAAAAAGCAAGAAATCCACAGCAGCCAAGCGACGTGAGGCAGCGAAGGTACGACCTGGAAGTGTTAGCCAGATGGTAAACGGTGTTGATCCACACCTCAGTCGTAGCGTCTCACAACCAAGACGATGTAAGGTGTGATGAGTTTTCCCGAAGCGTGCAGTGCCCTCATCTTTGTTGCTGTACACAGTGAGAATAACAGCTTGAACAGTCTCGATCTCGACAGCATTTTAGCGAAGGGTGATGCGCTGTATACCGAGGTCAAACGGTCATTACTGAATGAAGGGAGGTATGTTAGTGACCTACTGACCTTTGACGAGTTACCAAGTACAATAGAGACAGACTCGTAGTGTTACAGCGTTATTAAACACCCACAGAGATTCGGGTTTCTAAAGGACGATGCGCCACAGGGAATGGACGAGTATGTAACCCTGGAGAGGGCACTCAGCTGCCTGAGAGGTGATGTCACTGACGCGCTGCTGCTGACTGGAGCTGCAGGCAGATTCGGGTTTTTTGATCCTCATTGCAGAACACCTGATGGTTTAACGGCTGGAGAGAACATGGGTACAGCTGTGATGCTTACTTTTGCAAACTTAGAAGACATGATTGAAAGGTTGTTAATTCTGTATCAGGTGTGCCTTCAACTGCAGGATAACCATCAATATGAGCTCCTGCCTGTGTCCTTTGTAAATCGAGATATAGTCACTATTGCAGACACTCATGACAGTCAATCTTGTGAGATTCAACAATGGTAGAGCTATGTTCCAGTCTACGCTCTGATCTCTGCCAGTCTATGGAACAACCCATGGCTAAATTAAACAAAACACGACGAATGAGGCAATATTTCCAGCAAAAACGCATTAAGAGAAAAGAGCAGTCCATCCAGACAGAGGGCAAAAAGACAGGGTTAAATTGGATGAACAGATATGCAAATGATCCTAGATTCAAAGAAAAGATTAAACAGCACAGCCGAGTAAATTATACTGAAAATGTAAATTACAGACTTGCGAAGCAAAAGTCAGTAAGAGTGAATTACATGATTAACACAACATATAAAATAAAGCAGAGACAGTACATTACCAATAGCTACAAAAATAATCCCGATTTCAGAGAGAAGCAGAGACGGTACGTCACCAACAGCTACAAAAATAATCCCGATTTCAGAGAGAAGCAGAGACGGTACGTCACCAACAGCTACAAAAATAATCCCGATTTCAGAGAGAAGCAGAGACGGTACTTCACCAACAGCTACAAAAATAATCCCGATTTCAGAGAGAAGCAGAGACGGTACGTCACCAACAGCTACAAGAATAATCCAGATTTCAGAGAGAAGCAGAGACGGTACATCACCAATAGCTACAAAATAGATGACGCTTTCAGGCAAAGGCAGAAGCAATATTTTACAAAACGGTACAGAAATGATCTGAATTTTCGTAAACAGAAAAAAATAAAATTTAAAAGACTACATCAGACTGATTTGCACTTCAGGACCAATCACAGAGAACACTGCTTACTTCGGTCAAAAAATAGAGCATCTAGACTTAAAATCCTACAGAAGATACGCTGTGCACAACATATACAGAGGAAATACAGGCTAAATCACGTCCAGCAGCAGAGAAACACAACAATACAAACACCGCAGGAGAACAATGAAACCCTGAATCCCAATGTGCTGAAGGCACTGGTCCACTTTAAGGAGATAACGAAAGCTGGTCCAAGTTATATTTGCACAGTGTGTCACAGAGCATTGTTTTCTGATCAGGTCCGTCTGTGTGATCGTACACACTACCAAAAGAACCCAGTGATGGTTTCAAGTTGCTTGACAGGAAAATACATCCACAGCTGTTCTCCTAACTGTCCTGATAACTGTGTAACAGAAGAAAGGAAAAGTGAGTGGATCTGCCACAGCTGCCATGATAATTTATTAAAGGGAAAGATGCCTCCCATCGCCTCTGCAAACAAACTTCAACCTGCACAGAATCCACCGGAGCTCTGTGATTTAAATATACTGGAAAGACATGTTATAGCCAAATGTGTGTGTTTTGCAAAGGTCATCAGTCTTCCCAAAGGTCAGCAGAGAGCCATTAAAGGTGCTGTTGTGTCAGTTCCTTCAGATGTTGAAAACACAGTCAATGTTTTACCCAGACCAAGGAGTGAATCACAGCTGCTCACAGTGAAACTGAAAAGACGACTGTGCTACACGTGCCATTATCAGTTTCAGACAATATCTATGCAGAAAGTTCTTTCTGCTTTACTAAAATTAAAAGAAGTGCATTCTAAATACAGAGATATTGTGATAAACAACGTGGAGCCAGATGAATTATTTGATGACCCTGTAAATGAGGATGATGATGATGATGGTGATGATGATGCTCTAATGGATCCTGAAAACAACACTGGCAGGGAGGACACACCACAGCAGAATCCTGAAAGTGAACAACATGATGCAGATAATGAAGGTGAAAGCACAGAACAGCAGGCAGGACTCTCCTTAGACACGTCTTCAACCACCAGACCTCGGTCAGCATTTGTTGTCATATAATGATGGGTTTTTTTTTGCATCGCTCCTGCTGAGAGGAATAATCCAGTAAGCATATTTAAAGTTCCTAAACTGGAAGCAATGGCCTTTCCTGTCCAGTTTCCTACTGGTGAAAACACATTTGATGAACCTCACAGACACACAGCTCTCTTACCCAGCAGATACTTCAATGCCATGACTGTTTTCTGCTGATAATCGCTTTGCAAGGGACACAAACTACATATTCTTTGCACAGTTTGTGACTGAAATGCATTTAGCTACTTCAAGCATGTCCATTCAGCTAAGAAAAGCCAAATCCATGACCCGTGATGGACGCAGAATCAACAGCGCACTGTTACAGGATAAACATGAATTAGATAAACTGGTGAGAAACAATGAGGGAGCCAGATTCATGCAGCCTCTGAGCCTGCTTACTGGGAAAAAACCCTGAGAGATCTGTTTGCCATGCTCAGACAGCTGGGAACTCCCACCTTCTTCTGTACATTCAGTGCTGCTGAAATGAGATGGCTCGAGGTAATCACAGCCATTAAAGCACAGCAAGGTGAAACTGTGGTCTTCTCAGCCTTGGACTGGTCAGAGAAATGTGAGATTCTGTGCAGCAATCCAGTCACAGCTATGCGCATGTTTGAGAAACGTGTAGAAGCTCTCATGAACCTCATTCAGTCTCCTGCACAGCCCATCGGTGAAGTGATTGACTACTTTTATCGTGTGGAATTCCAACAACGAGGCTCTCCACATAATCACTGTTTATTCTGAGTAAAAAATGCTCCAGAATTTAAAAATTATATGGATCAAGATGTATGTGATTTTATAGACAGATACATCTCATGCAAACTGCCAGACCCAAACACAGACGCTGAACTACACAGAATTGTGTCAGAAGTACAAACACACAGCAGAAATCACTCAAAATCATGCAAAAAGAACAATAAACACTGCAGGTTTGGATTTCCTAAACCACCTATGGCAAAAACAATCATCACATTACCCAGACCAGCCCCTGACACTGACTCAGATGAGGAATGTGGAGAAAAAGATGAAACTGTGACACAAGCAAAACCAAAGCTTCAGCCTGTGTGGGATCTGTTGAATGATGCGACTCAGCACTTTGACAGCATTGCACAGCTGCTTGAAACAGTTGGTATGACTTACCAGGATTATAAGGAAAGTGTAAAGTCTCTCTCTACATCCAGTCTGGTTATAATGGAACGTGAACCAAATGACTGCTGGGTAAATGGCTACAATCCACTGCTTCCAAGAGCCTGGGATGCCAACATGGACATACAGTTCATCCTGAACCCATACAGCTGTATCATGTACATCCTGTCCTATATTTCAAAAGCTGAGCATGAAATGAGTGACTGACTATCTGAAACGAGTGATGAAAGACACGTGTCCCAGCTCATCTGAGAGTGAAACCATGAAACAGGTCATGCAGGCCTATTCCAAAAACAAAGAGGTCAGTGCTCAAGAGGCCGTTGCTCGTACCTGCAGTTTGAAACTGAAGTCATCATCTCGTGCTGTGATTTTCATACCCACAGACGACAATGCTGTACAGATGAGTCTGCCTATGAAGTGCTTACAGGACAAAGACCCTGATGATGAGAATGTGTGGATGACTGGATTAGCAGAAAAGTACATGGCCAGGCCGAACACACCAGAGTTTGAGAACATGTGCATGGCTGAATTTGCTAGTGAATATCGAATTGTGTATGCAGAACAAAGAAAGGGTAAAAATGTTTCTCTTTTGCAAAACAACATGGGACACATAAAAAAGCGCACCAGAGGGAAACCTGCCATCATTTGTTTTGCTCGTTTTTCACAGCAAAAATACCCTGAAAAATTTTACAGAACTCTGCTGAAATTGTACCTGCCACAACGAAGCAGCTCACAGCTTAAAACTGCTCAATTCAACACTTACAGATCCTTCTATGCCTTTGCTTCTGTAAAATTTCCAGGAACAGAGACACTCCAGCATGTTTACACTGTTGTAAATCAAAACAGAGAAAAGTATGAAAAGCACAGTGAAGCTATTGAACAGGCCATTGAAAATTTTGAACAAAATGGTCCTATTGAAGATGCCTGGACTAACTTAGCACCAACAAATGAACTGATCCGTTTGGAATGCATGATAGAGCAGGAACCAGCAGACCCCACTGATGTGACTGAACAGGATGACGTCCCTGATTACGCTGCATCCACATCTGAAAACAGAACAGCTATGCCTGTAATGGAAGCTCCACAGATGAGCTTTGCAGAAATCAGAAAAATGTATCAGAGTCTGAATGAGACACAAGCAGCTGTGTTTTACTCTATACGTGACTGGTGCAAAAGAAAAGTGCTGAATGAAAACCCACAACAGTTTCTTTATTATGTTGCTG